ACCTCAGCTGCCATTGACTCCGATTGGCGATATGCTGAGATAAGATTGGAGCAATGACTAGCATGATCCGATCCAATGTTTTTGGAAATCAAAAGGGTCGTCTAGTACCATATGCACTTCAATCATCTACGATGTGCAGAAAGGTGTCCAAAGCAGGGAGTTGAACGACGTCGGGGGGCTGAAATGCCATAGCTTCGTATTAATGTTGTTCCTGACGGGGTTGGAAAGTAAAATTCGGGCCTGCAAGAAAAGATGGCGAAGAACATGTGTACTAAGGGTACTAAGTGCCTCTGGCCCAAAACAGAAGGAAACAAGCGAGTGCTAAACGGGGCCGGCCCCTTGACCTGGAAACAACAATCTGAGCATTGCGCAAACGACTGAGCTGCTCCTTCTGACCACCAGCCTCAAGTCAAACTGCAATCTTTAGATGGTGGCTGGTCATTTTGCTGGGTGATTTATTCGATGAAAAAATGAAACCGGCTTGGTTTGGTATGTTTGGTCCAAACAGCGCGCAGGGTCGCAGGGTGGCATGGGTTCATCGGAAGCAAAATCTTCTTGGGGCCCACCAATGGCTGTTGATCCTCTTATCCACGCATTCACGCGCGCCGGACAATTAGTATGACAAAAATTGCGGACGCGTGGCCACAAACCGGAAGCGCTGAAGGGGGCCGTGTTTGACGGAAAGACATGCAGGTCCCAGCGCAGCGATCCACGCAGTACATGTGCTCAACTTACCTGGTTGCAAAAAAAAAATGGTTTCCGTCCTGTTTGGCCATCCTAAGCTTCGATCTGCATGCAGCGCCGTGTGCTTGCGACTTGGGTCTACGCCACTAATCCATTGGAGCACGGGCAGGAACTGTGACAAAAGGAACGGGAACACAGAAAGGTTCGAGTCCTGATGTGTGTCTTGCGTCATGTTCAAGATGCATGTTTTCCAAATTCAGCACTGCGAGCATCTTGCCTGAACTTTTGGGTTGCAAGCAAGACCAAAGAAGAACAAAGAAAACCATAGACTCCATTAAGGATATCACCTGGCCGCATGAAAAAACAACAGTAGACCAGAAATGGGTTTCAGAGCCGACCCGCGACCCCTGGTTCAAAAGAGCTACAGGTAACATCAGGTAACCAAGATCTCGTGGGCTGGACTCTTTTGCAGCAAAAGATAGCCGGGTGACCTTCGCAGCGGTACTATGTGGTAGAACCTGCAATAGTGCATAAGAGAATCTAAGCTCAAGGATTGCGGAAAATGCCACAGACTGGGGCAACTATTCAAACTATTCCCCTCTCTGCCGGAAGAAGGATGTTTTATGGGATTGTTTCAAAATGAAAACGGAATAAACCCATTCCGTCCCATGTGTTGTTGTGGATGTTTTATGGGATTGTTTCAAAATGAAAACGGAATAAACCCATTCCGTCCCATGTGTTGTTGTGCATTGAACTTGCCTATGGGCGTGTATCGTCATATCATCATCATAATCATCATCATCATCATCACCACCATCATCATCATCAACATCATCATCATCATCATCGTCATCATCATCATCATCATCATTAACCTCATCATTCATCCTCATCATCACCATCATAATCATCTATCATCAACATCATCCTCATCCTCATCATCACCATCATCACCATCACCATCATCAAAAGATAATCATCACCTTCATCATCAACAACATCATCATCATAATCATCATCAGCACCACCATCATGATCATCGTCATCATCCTCCTCCTCATCATCATCATCAGCATCATCGTCATCATCATCAAAATCATCTTCATCATCACCATCATCATTAACCTCATCATTCATCCTCATCATCACCATCACCATCATCATCATCAACATCATCATCATCATCATCATCATTAACCTCATCATTCATCCTCATCATCACCATCACCATCATCATCATCAACAACATCATCCCCATCCTCATCATCACCATCATCATCATCATCACCATCATCAAGAAATAATCATCACCTTCATCATCAACAACATCATCATAATCATAATCATCACCACCATCATGATCATCGTCATCCTCCTCCTCCTCATCATCATTATCAAAATCATCTTCATCATCACCATCATCATCATCATCACCATCATCATCATCATCATCTTCATCCTCATCATCCTCCTCCTCACCATCATCATCCTCATCCTCCTCGTCATCCTCATCTTCATCCCGATCATCATCATCATCATCATCATCATCATCGACAACATCATAATCAACACCATCTTCCTCCTCATTCTCATCATAATCATCATCACCACCATCATCACCATTATGATCATGATCATCATCACCATCATCATCACCACCACCAACACCATCGTCATCATAATCATCATCATTGTCATAATAATCGTCATCATCCTCATAATCGTGATCATTTTCCCATAAACATTGCCATTCAATAGTGTTTCCACCATTTTGAGAAGTTCCTTGGGACAAAGAACTGTTTATATATGCTTTCCCTCATGGAATCAAACATGGCACTAGAGAATCCCCCAATCGCAGACGATGTTTCCACTTCAATGTCAAGTTCTAGGGGATTATCCATTGCCATGTCTGATTATAGGAGGTAAAGCCCTCCTGATGAAACGCAGGTTCTTCGCTGGTTCGAATCTCAGCAGAACCCCCAGCATCTCTGTAGTACCGTCTCTTGCAGTGGACCCACCATCACCATGCTTAGGCCTATGATGCGGCCCGGCCCCACACACCAAGTTGGAGTTGGACATTTGAACTACTGGGATTTTTCTTTAACTCTTCGGCAGTCAAACAGTTTGCCAGCTGGTCAATCCCGAATGGAAAAGTATGGAATTCATGGTGTGGTTTTTCTGCCATGTTTGAGTGCCGGATGGTGTCATGGCCTCCCAACTCATCATACTGAATGCTGGGTATCCCTCTGGAGGTGTTGTCAAAATGCCCAAACAAAATAACCAACCTGAGCTTCAGGAACAAGGGTCTCCCCCGTCGTGTGGGGCCCGAAAAGTTCTTTACACCCACAATACCTAGGATTTATGCTCGATACATCTACAAGTGAGTGGATTGATAAACAAATTGAGATCTCAGGGGGATGTAGGCGTGAAGCATCTTGCCACTTTTTTGACGCCGCAATTCTTCTGTTGCGGGTGGCATGTACTCTACAAAGTGGGCCCCTCAAAGGATAGCTAAGTTGGTTTACAGCTCCAACAACTATGGTTTATGATGGTCTATGATACGTATAACATTGTATAACTATATAGTATAAACGCGCAAGCACCCCGTTTCGCCCACACCCTTCTTGTCTTGGGAAGATCAACAAAGGCATTGGGGAATGTAAAAGTCACACCCCCGTTAAACTTTACATTTATTGAAGATCTTCAAAAAGGGTTTAATTCTCCCACCCGCACTGAACTTCTACCCTCATCGAAGATCTTCAATACGCGTTTAGCTCTCCCACCCCCATTCAACTTCTACATTCATTGAAGATCTTCAATAAGGGTTTAGTTCTCCCACCCCCATTGAACTTCTACACTCATTGAAGATCTCCAATAAGGGTTCAATCTCCCAACCCAGTTAAACTTCTACATTCATTGAAGATCTTCAATATATAAAGGTTTAATTCTCCCACCCCCAGTAAACTTTTACATTCATTAAAGATCGTCAATAAGTTCAATAAGGGCTTAATTCTCCCACCCCGGTAAACTTCTATATTCATTGCAGATCTTCATTGATGATGATGATGATGATGACGATGATGATGACGATGTGGAACGAACCCACACATGTCCCTGGGCTGCGCGTTCTGATCTAGAACATCAAGTTAACCATAGTGCTAAAATATCCCTCTTTTACCACGTTTTCAGCTCATACGAAGAAGGCGGGCCAACAGGCGCGGGCAAGACGAGGTGTTCGGCCGTATATATAGTATTCATGGGGTTAGTAAATCAACACACATTAAACTACTGTGCCAAGAAACATGTACTGTAGTTTGGTTGCTCAAAAGGGCCCCTTCACTTGGGTTGCTTCCCAAGTGTGTCCCCAGTATGGCTGGTTAAATCCACCATGGTTTTGGTAGGACCATGAAAAATCACCATGAGTGGTGACAAATATTCCCATGTCATACCTAAACCACCATCCATCAGCCATCATGTATATACTGTAATATCCCCGCATATTTGGTGATCAAAACTCCATTGCTGAGTCAAATCTACAATCACACTAGCATCAACAAGGACCAAACATATCGACTTGCGCTCGTATCAATCCCATCCTCCTTTATGTTTGAGCACTCAACGAAAACCGCTTTTTGGCGGCGCAGTCTTCCTTATTCCCAGCGCGCAATGCGCAAGATTCACGGCGAGGAGCCAAGTGCACGAAATCCGATTGCTTCAGTTCCACCATGGTGACGATCATGCCTCGGAGGTGTCAAAAATCAACCGGTTTTCTACAAAGTGGGGCCCCCGTTTACGCTAAGTCTTAATAACATCAAATAACTTCAATAACAATGGTTTATAACACTACAATAACTTATATTTACAGTAATGGGGTCTATAGACTAATAAACATGACTGGGGGTCCCACTTTACATAGCAGTCATGAACGGCAGGAAAAAGGAAAGCGGAACCGCAGGTTTCCACGGCAGAACAGCTGTGGTTTCGGAGTTTTCTTTAAAATCCTTTAAACCAATCCTTCGATTGAAGTCATGAACTGAGAATTGAATATCAATCACCTTAAATGGATGTAGCATGTGGATATTGTAGATTGAATTGAACATTTGTGTGTATACACTATTTTTTTGGATTTGTTTTGAGGGACAATCATTTAACAATAGGAAATAAAGCACGTATATGCTGGGGCTAGGGTCTAAACCATTCATCCTGACTATACAATGCCAATTATATCCAATAATTATAGACGCTTAGTTCAGGCTACCCCCTTGGAGTCGTTCGGAGCTTCAACATCTTTCAACCGATGCGGCGCCGCCCTTTTTGCACGGTTTTGGACCACTGGAGCTGCGTTTCGTTGGCCTGATCTGGAGCCCGTGGGACGCTAGAATTTGATTTGAAGCTTTTGGGTTACAACTTGCATGTAGTTGGTATGGCTCATGGTTTGCAACTTGCAGCCATGGAAAATGGCCCATAAGAAAACATTATTTATGATTATGTATGGAACTGTAAAAATGATGGGTTTTCATTGCTGCGTTAAATAACCAGAGGCTAACACACCGAAAAAAACATTGGGATGGACAAATCCATGAGTTCCCGGAAAAATGGTCTACATTAATGGTGGATGTCCCATTTCGATGTTTGTTTTTATGGGCCAGTTCCTCAACCTTTTGTCATGGCGCATCTTCCGGACTTCCCAAAGTCCTTCAAGGTGGTTCTCCCCCAGTAGCTAAGTTGATGTAGAACCCATCTATTCATCTATGGATATATTCTCCATAAACTCTATTTAGCTTAGTTGTAACATGTTATAACCCAGTAATCTTAGTTATCTTAGTTATCTATAAGCTCCAGTTACGATTCAGTTATGAAAGTTATAATCCAGCTTAGCTTGCCAACTGAGGCACCACCTGGGTATAGCCCTGTGATTCACTGATGACTTGAGGTTCTGCCATTTCGACGGATTCAGGTATCACGGTGATATTCTTCACACCTTTCTCTGGATTTCCACAGACTATTCAACACCTCTGCGCCCATGGTTGAGCAAATACTGAAGATGTCAGTCTGAATTTTTAAGTCTATTATCAGATATGCTGATCACGTTCCCTACAAATATGAAAAAGGCAGTTGACCCCCGGAACATACCCTATAAGTACCTTCTGAGGACGTACTTGGATCTGAATGGTTCAATACTTAGACATTCGTCTAAACAAGACAAGTAGCCCATTCCCAATGCTCTTAGACCTCACATATTTCCCATGAAACATTGCTATAAACTGGGAGTATGCCACATTGGAGACTCACCCACTTCAATTATTCATTGGTCAAATCTACCCATGTCCGCTTTTCATTGGTAAAATCCAAGTGTTTTGTGGCATAGTTGAATCACCGCAAAAGCAAATTCACATGTTAAATACTGTATGCAATTTTCTTTGTATATATATATATACAGTATATATATATATATGCACATCATGTGTATTAGTGTATGCTTGGTTTTTTAAAACATAATATATATATATTGAATTATTTAGGTACACACAATATCGCATGATATCCGCATCAATCAAATGGCTGCGTCTACATCCCCGGTGTCGTTGATATGCATGGCATCCCGGTTGGATCCCTCCATTTTGGCAGCATTGATTTTTGTTGGATCGTGGACCGAACCAGAAATTCATATACAGTGATGGCCATGGCCCAAGTAACAGTTATAAATGGGATTAGTAACAGTTCATGATATATAACCAACTAGTTATAGGAGTTATAACTCATCCCAGTTATAACCGTTAGTTGGGCCATAACTGAAGAGGTTTCATGATTTTTTCTCCAGATCCGCCTCAATCCATGAAGAGGCCGTTGGTGCTCGTCGTGATCGGGGAACCTCTTGGTGCTTGTGGAAAATCTGATGCTAAAATATCAACAAAAAAACGGTTGTATATTCTTGGGTAACCACAAGATACTTACATGTATCTATGTATATTTCGTATATGTTAAGCCCATGTGTATATATATGTATATAATATTGTATAATTTCAAACACGCTGCAGAACAATAGAGTTGCAAATCATAACAAAAGAGGTCTCGGCAATGGTCACAAGGATCCCTTTGCTACGCCCCTGACAATGGCTCGCATGTTGTCCCTAGGCTTCCAAACATCTTCTGAGAAGAAATGTAGACCCTCAAAACCGACCTAAATCACCTTCTGTGGTGGGATTCTGATTGCAAAAGGGGGTTGTCAATGGACCCTGATCCCCTAATCCGTTCCAGCACATAGTTTACAATGTGCTGGTCAAGTGTTTCTGCAAAATATGGATGGTGAATGATGGTGAGACTGTGGTATTGTCACCCTTCGAAATACGGATCATCACAAGTATGGACAAGAAACAACATACAGCTGCCAATCAGATCAATCAGAAGAGTTTGTTTTTCCAAGATATTGCACATGATCTTCAGCGAATTTCGGCAGCTTTTTAAGTTCTATATCTATTGAGGGCAGCGTCAAAAACACATTTGTCCCCTGGTTCTTTGAAGCATCAGTCAAACTCACTTCAGATTCTTCAGATGCTCATCCAAGTCCATCTACTACACTAGGGATGGGAAAAACGTATACATAGTTACATTCATATGTACGTGTAGTTGTATATTACTATATTATAAATATTATATTATATATATATATGATATAATATATATATGATACAAAATATATATATATATATATATTTATGATAATATATATATTATCATTATATTATATATATATTAAATATAATATAATAATATAAATATATATATATATTACTATTAAATGATATATATATAATATAATATAATATTTACAATATTTTAATTATATGGTATATATATTATGCATATTATATGTATTATAATATATATATATATATTATATAGTACATATAATATGTACAATATATATAATATAATAAATAATACATGTGATATATTATATATTATATATATATAATATCATTATCTATAATATATATATATATCATTCTATATATATATATATATATCATTAAATATATATATATATAACATTAAATATAAATTACAAACATATATACATATTATATATACATATCATTATTAAAAACATTTAGTATTATATACGTATTAAATCATATCATATTATATCGTATTATATCATATTTTATCATATTATAATATTATATTATATATATTATATATATATATACGTATATATTATTTCAAGAATCTCAAATGCCCGGCCACCATTCCCTGCAATCCAAAGCTTCCAAGAAACGGCAGAACGGACACGACTGCAAGTTCCCTTGGCAGGTGCTGCCTTGGTGGAAATGTTCCGCTTTAGGTTATAAAAAGTGCTGCCCTCTGATATGATTGTTGTTTCATAAAAGCCAAGCAAATTCGTTACCCTCTGGTAAACTAATTTAGCTATAGAACGTGACCTTTTTTTAAAAAAATAGGTAAATCAACTATAAATCAGCCTTTTTCTATAGCTATGCCATATTACCAGAGGGTAAATATTGTATAATACCTATCATAGACCCAACATTTATGTGACCTAAATGCACATTTTCGCACCATGATAGTTCATGGGTTTTACCAATAGTAAAGTTAACATAATAGTCAATTTATAAGTAAAGCAAAAGGATACACCATCCCCAATGACTGACCATTTCTATGGCTGCTACACGTAATCCATCAATCGAAAAATGGCTGGTTTATGACAATGCTTTACTAACATTAGTAACAAATCTACCATAGACCCAGCATTTATGTAACCTACTGTATACCTATAGGGTCAACCAAACTCTCCCTCTATATATATATATAACAATTGTTATTGGCATTATTTATCGCCTTGTGAATATCTGTCCAACCTCCATGAATATAGCTATGGGTCAAAACAGGAACTCCATTCATTCTAGGGTTGGTGATTTTGACCCGGCGGGGATCTGCAGAGATGTTAATCCGATCTCCCTATCAAATACCTCCGTTAAAGCAATCCCACAAAGAACAGATCCGATATTAAATGAAGGTTTCCCAATGTGGTCTTCAATATCGGGGGTCCAAAATTTCTGGTGACACAGCCCAGAACCAAAACACACAAAAAGGCAACCAACACGGCTCGCCCAGATGCAAAGCGTGTGACCACAAGGTACAAGCACCACCACCTAGCAAATGAAATCCCAGAGTCACCTGTGCCCTTGGTGGGTTCCCAGCTCCCATGCAGCTGAACTTCTAGTGGCTATGTATATTCAGCATTTTTTTAATTTAAAAAAATAGGGCAAAAGATCTACTGTAAGGGAATGGCTGGGAACCGCCATGCATATAAATCCGAATTGGTGTTGATACTTGATACCCTAATTTTTGAGGCTAAGGCCACTAAAGTCACTACAGTTCATTACTATCATGTGGAAACTCTTAATAGCTCCTTGGCTCCCCATTGAGTACGGAATATGAAAACCTGAAGCTCCTTTTCTCATCTTTTCTCCATCCGTTCACCACTGGATAGTTATTCAAACCAAAAAAAAGTTGGCTTCTTTTCACCCCTTGAATAGTATAGATATACATCCCCTGGACGCATAGTTATATGTATATATATATATATATATACGCGCAACGCTGATATACGCGCAACGCTATACATATACGTATAAATATATATATATACATAGATATATAGCATAAACTAATCTTCTCTACTGCTTAGCCTCCGGTGATGAAACATTGCTTGATGGAAAATCATCAATATACCCTCTGGTAACCTAACATAGCTATTGAACATTGCCATTTATAGTGGATTTACCCATACATTAGAAATAGTGATTTTCCATAGCTATGTTAGTTTACCAGAGGGTATTGCGTTCGGTGATTTTCCAAGCTATAAACCTTCGAATTGAGCTCGCGGATCTCCCGTTTCTAGCCGCGTACTTGATAAAACCAAAGGGTAAATCAAATGTCAATTGATAATTCACTGCAACACAACATTAATAATCAACATTAATTACCCTCTGGTTATTTAACATAGCCATGGAAAGTCACAATTTTAATAGGTAAACCATCTATAAATGGGCCATTTTCCATGGCTATGTTAGTCATAACCAGAGGGTAAATTCCACTGCAATACATTAAAATTCCCATGGCGGATCTATAAATCCCAGCATATGATGATGCGTTAAACCATTGTGAAATCATCTAGTTTGGCTTATTTTCACCTTATGAATAGTAGTTCGATAGATCCCCTTGAAACATCTTGAAACCATAGATTTATCCTAAAATTCATAATAAATCATCATAAATCCATATAAATCCCATAGAATCCCATCATGTTTATTGGTGAAACCATGGTGATCATGATGAACCCCCACCAATTTCCAGCCGAGTTTCCGGTCGTATCTCCTGGCAGATGGGACAGGTGTTGGAGCATCCCCCAGTGCTCGGCGGCGGCGCTGGGGTGTCCACCTAGAGGGACCGACACACCAAAAATCCTGGGTTTGACCGGCAAAAAAAAAATATCATAACATGTATAAAATTAGCTTTTTCATGGGTTTACCATGTTTTGCCAGCCAAATTTGGTGGCTTTGACTTTCTTCTATCTAGATCATATTGGTAAAAATGCTGGTTTTAGCGGCACAATATGTGATTTTACCGGTAACGAATGGTGGTTTGAGCGGTGACACTTGGCAATCCAAGAATTATATATATATATATGTATATACAAGAATGATATATATATATATAAACTTTAGTGATTCAACGGGTGAAGATTAGAAATTACCTCTCAACAATTTGAGATCCGACCAATAAAACATGGAGATCTTCAGAAGAACGTGCGGATGTACTGGGCAAACATTTTCAGACTACTTCCAGTGGTAGCAGCAAGTTGACTTTCGTAAATTACCATCCAGAAGTCATTGAGCCATCAGTTGGGTGGAGATCCTTTTTTCCGAAAATCTGAAATTCGAAATCCATCGCATGGCCGAGATGGAGACATAGACTTCCCATTATTGAGATGATTCAATGATGATATCATCATGAATGATACAGTATTTAAATTTAATATGTATATAATTCAATTTTGGGGTGCAAATCCAGTTCAAGAATGACTTGTGATGCACCATAGCTATGAATGAATTCACCCTGGTTGTACCCATGTCTAGTCCCCAACAGCAAGCCCAAGTGTGATTTCCTTAATCTCTGACCATTTTGGGGATCCATATTACGCTTCCCAACGCCGGTTGTGGCTGGATCTGTCGAAGTTCCCGTAGCCAATGGATTGCACCCACCAGGACTCGTTTTTTTCTCATGGGCCAATTTATTGGGGCACCCAAGACTAGGATGGTTCGCTTTTGACCAAGACCCATATTGCGTGATTCTATAATAAGTTGTGGCATCATGTGTTTCATTTCCCCCTGGGCCCAGTGTAACAGTGAATCTTGGCAGGTACAAGGGCAAGGGTCTTTAAAGCCGAGCAACTACATGCCAGCTAGCATGCAAGGTGCACAGAACTGCATGTTGTTGGAAGTCGTAGTAGTGCCTCAGTCAAACTGGTACCCAGTACCAGATCTCCAAGCCAATTAACTGAGGTGCCACGGGAAAAAACAACACAGATATATAGATTTGTTTTTCACACACTTGATTATATAATATTATATATATCTATATTGTTTCAAAATGTGGATATCAGGTTTCCCTCCTGAGCAAGATTCCATGTTTCGGGGTTCCACATCATTGTCGAACAGAAAGAAATCCGCTATTGTTTTCCGTTCTGCCGCGTTGAGTCACCCCATATCACCTGGTGCGGTCAGGGTTGTACAGATTCCAACTCAAGCCCCTTGATTCCAACACCGCAAAGCGGCACCCCAAAGTTCTTGCTCATTTCAAATTCTTCAGACTTGGATATATCTCTGGTGGTGGTATACCATGGTATACCTACCCCTCTGAAAAATGATGGACTGACTTCGTCACTTGGGGTTCCTATTCCCAATAGACATAAAAATCCGTGGTTCCAGTCACCACCAACCAGATATGAGTTCCCCACGGATTCGATGTGCGCCCCCCCCCAGTCATATGTGATCCAATGTGATCCAATCCAACTATAGACATACCCTCTGTTTTTTTTGGCATAGTGGTGGACAATGGCCCATGTATAGATAGTTTGTGATAATTTACCTCTGAAAAATAGGTATTATCTTAAACAACAAGAGGGTATCTACCAAAAAACATTTTCTAAACCTGGCTGTTAAAACCAACTGGCTAAGTGGCTGAGTGACCCTTGTGATCAGTCCCCAAATTCGAAAAATCTCTGACCTACAAACCATGGGCAATTCTATATGGTCATATGTCCGCAGACATACCGATCAACTTAGGGGCCCAGATTATATATATATATGTATATGGCATATGTGTATACAGGATGGTTGCCCCCCCAGTGATGTTTGTTGGTTTCTAAACCCCATGAATACTATAGTTATATCTGCCATAAACCATAGTTATGGGAGTTATAAACCAACTTATCTAACTATGGGGCACCACCTTGTATGTGTATATATATATATATATCAGTATATATATATCCTCATTGCTCTGCCATTATAACTGATTTCATCATATCACCCTTATTGGCTGTTTGGATCCCATCGTTGATTTTCGTCGATCATGGCTGATGTCACAGCCAACAGTTGCACCAGATATCGTATCAACACTGGATGAAAAGCACAATCAACCGAATCAACCATTCCCCCCAAAGAAACAATAGAATAATTCGGCAACAATCAATCAACAAACGATTGTAATCAACAGGGCTTGTGGTCACTGCTAAGTCAACACCTTTGCTACAAGGCACTTGACCTCACAACTGGCAAAACCCATAGTGTCCAGTTTGGCCTTTAAGGTGTCCGCGATCTGATCCACACCTGGGTAAGTCTGGCGCCATCTGATCCCGATCCAGCCGGAGCTTCTTGGCATGTATTTGGGGTATGCTTTGGGGGCTAGCCGTACCTTCTCAGGAGTCTGGATCCACATAGTGTATATATATATATAATTTTATATATATATATATATGTGATCCAGCAAAACAAGAGAAAACTTCTTGGATGCACCACAGCCGTTTTCGGCACGGCGCTGATGCAGGGCCCAATCTCAGGGATCGGAAGCGAGCGCAAGGTGAAGCTGTCCTGGGCATGGTGAACCATAAACATGAACCATAAAATGTTGGGGATAGCGTAGTGACCTAGTGGATAAGTTAGTTCATACCGCTGGAATCTGGGGATGAATCAACACCTATAAAAAAAAGGACGCCCTGAAAAAAGATGCCAAAACGTGTTACAAAAAGATGTTAGGTCGATGATATTTACTAGGCATATTTTCAGATGTCTCACTTTTTGGCATCTATTTTGGGGTTGCCTGGTGATAAACCATACATTTTGGGGATACCCTTTTGGCAAAGGTGGTTTATACATGTTCATACCAACTATCAGGAAGAGTTCTGGCAGTTACTGACCTATAATCAGATTCTATGGTTAAAAACTGGCAAATAAGAGTCTAAGACGAGTGTTACCATCAAGAAAATGGAGCTTGCTATAAATGTATTGATATCGATATGCTTGGATCAGAACAAAATGGGGGTTGAGTTGATGGCGAAGGGTAACCCAACCAACCATAATAATTTAAGAAGCCCTTAGCAAGGCTTGATTGTGGCTACAACAACCGCTTCAAAAGGCCATATTTTGCTGGCGGGGTGCTGTACTACTTGGTGAACAGCCTCTGGTCATTTACATCGCTATGGAAGGTCACCATGTTTAGTAATCTATAAATGGATCATTGTCTATAATTACCCATGTTATTCCTTGCCAGACTGGTCATTCCTTTGTGACATGATCGAGTCACCATCGAAACTTTAAGGATCATCCAAGCATCTGCCAGGATTTCTGAAGTATGAAACTACAGCCAGAGATGCAGCTCTAAAATTTCAGACCACGAGAAAAAATAGAAACAAGTCAAAGAGCCGACCTTCATCATCTCCCAATCTACCAGGTATATATATATACCAGTTATATATGGTAGATTGTAGTTATCACTAAACTAACAATATGACTATACCAGTTAGTATATGGTAGTATAACTATACCAGGTAGTCATCTACCAAGAGACAATATAATAGTTTTCTCTCTCTCTCTCTCTAAAAAAAACTATTGCATTTCAGGCCATGAATTACCGCTATGATTTCATGGCCAACAACATGTCAAGACTTAGTTATCATTTAAAAAAAGAACATGAAGATCCATGAAAATTGACGACATTGGAGGCTATTTGAGGCCATCTGTTCAAAGGTCCATAGTTAAATAGTTGATTTACCCAGCTATAACATGGTGAAATTCCATGGTTTTACCATGATTTACCCATTAAACATGGTGAATTTCCAGGCCGGGTCAGATGTCCGGCTGTCCGGCTGTCCCGCGGCACCAAGGCACCAGGCCCTTCTGCGCCTCCGTCTTGCAGCCGTTGAAGAAGAACTGCACCGTGTCCTTCACCCAGCCATCTGCCTGGCGATGAAAACGATGGAGCTATCACTGGACGATGAAAATGATGACGAACACTAGGGATTCATGATATTTAGTGATGAATATGTGATGACATGTGATGAATGTATGTTGTATATAAGTTATAATATGATATAATATGTATAAATTTCATGAACAGTTCTAAGGATTTTTGGGAATTGCACTCAGAATTGTGCCAAGACTTCAGCTAGCTGACTTGTGATAGATCCCAGTAAAGGCCTTTTGAAGTCAAGTCATATCAAAAAACAAAGAAGAAGTGGTTGTTACAAAGTACACCAGGGTGATAACCTTACATCCATCAAAACAAGCCAACTGCACCCCGAATTTTGTGTTTCTATCGCTTTGCCTCATGTCTTGTCTCAGTCTTTGAAACCGCATCGGTACATGTTGCATATTTATGCATATTTATCCTATCAATGTCGGGCCCCCTAGATAGCCAAGATAGCTAAGTTGGTTTATATGTTTATGGTACTCATATCTATAGTTACTGGGGTTCATAAACCAACAAACATCACTCGGGGGCCCCACATTGTTTCAATCACCCCCCCAATCAAAGAACCCAACCAAAAACTGATCCATTTTCACCCCCATCCCACCTGCTGAAATTGCGAGGCACGCGCGTGCGCGGTCAAACGACCTAACTCTAAAGCCATCATGGCGCCGATCCCAGCGGAGCTTTCGCATCGTGGTCCCTGTGGATCCAGATACCCTCTGACTAACAGTTTGGTGAGTTGAAAATGGCCATTTCTTTGGTGAGTTTTCCAACAGAAATTCATGGTGAGTTGATATCTCTGAGATAGGCCAGAAGTCTCCAACAGTAATTTCAGTAATTCTGAGGCAATGTTTGTGGAGTCAACTAATGTCAACTACCTTCTCAGGAAGTCATTGATGGTTTCTAGCCAAATGGAAGCTGCCAACCCAGGCCGCTGAGCGGCCCGCCATCATTTTTGTCAGGATCCTGAACGTGATTTTTGAGTTTGCATCTGGCGTGATAAAATTGAGCCACGAAAGGGCCACTATCAAAATATCTGAACTTAATGAAACCATATTAAACCAGGATTTAGCTGCAGGTTGCAGAATTTCAACATATTCATTGTCCTTGTTCTCTTTCTTTCTTTGTCTCATTGCATGGCTGACTTGATCGCCAGCCTCAAGGCCTTGCTGGCCTGTGTTTCATCCATAGCTTCTTCATAAACAGCTGCAGAATTCAAAAGGTGACAGAGCGGTGTCCACCCTGCAGCTATCACCAGTCAAATCCTCCAGAAAAATAGGACCATTCGTGGTGATATCAGAGCCAGAAAGACTAATCTAATATGTATACTGTATACCATCCCATATGCTCCATGGTGCTGGTGTATTTACCTACAAAACTGGGTCATTTATGGGGCAAATGTTGGGATTCATATTCCAGCACCATGGAGCATATGGGCATAACCGGTTGGTAAATAATGTTGATTTTGATACGCATCAACAAAAAGTCATTTCTACCGATCAAAATCCCAACCAGACACAGGGGACGCATATCCCGAACTTGTGGTGGTTAATTACAGCGTCATGGTTGTACCCATCAACACCACCTCAGCCACACCCCAATACAGTTGTTTCATTAATTATATATATATAATATTCAGATTCCTGCGTGTTATCACCTCTTTATATCAATCAACCCACTGTTACACCTTCCATGTTTCATCGTTGAATCACCATATATCACCGAATTTTGTTTACTGCAGTCAATGGTTAATGTGGTAAACCCTAAAAAATACACCATATGCTCCAAATCACCATCAATGGGTCGTACAAACCATCCCCAAATGGTAGGTTTATCATTGCATTTCCCACATTATATCATTATATCAACTAAAAATTGTGTAAATGCCACACTTATGCACCCAAATACCAGTTATTAACCAGCTATAACCCCATTTATGAAATGATAAGCCCATTGGTTTAACCCTTTAGTACTGGCAATATGGGCTTAAATCCTGTGGTGTTCCTATGGTATTCCTTTTGTTCCCACATGAAACGACCCCGTCTGCTCCAAAGACACTGATGAGGGCCACATCCATTGCTGCCCACGCACCCAAGCAATGCACCACCGCCCTTGTTGCGACACGTCCATTGATGGGCCCATTGGTGAATCACTTGTGAAAAAAAAAAGATCACCATATTTTTCCCCCATTTCTTCCTTCACCATCAATTTGGTGAATCACTCAAAATTGAACAAATCATGGTGCTCAATGGATCGATGGACAAATTGACAGGAAATCAAGGTTGCCACCACAAAAAAGGACCATAGGTAGGAGTCGCTGATACGTTCCCTTAATTCAACGCAACTAAACAAACAATTTTATTGCGAAACAAAAGAGTCTACAGTAAAATTACGATGAAGTGGACTAGTGAGGTTGCCACAAACTGCCCAAGTGCATAACAAATCATATTCAGAAAATAAGTATATATATATATATGTGTATTGTATAAATATGTATTCTATAATATATATATATAATATAATTATATATATATGTAATTCACAAAATGATTGTTATTTGCATCCACCCCATCATGGAAAGTCCAACTTCATCCAACTCAGAAAAAAAGACATGATCTTTAGCATCCCGCAGAAAGATAGACAACTTGTCGATCTTTATGGGGGCTATATTTTCGAGGTGTTCCTATTTGGGCACTTCAGCCGATATATGTCGATACAACCATATGACACTATGTACTACACCAGTTCGATTATCTCCAGCTGTATCGGGTTTATAAACCACTTACTGGGATACACATCCAAGTATACCCTCTGGTAAACTAATATAATTAGGGAAAATCATCATTTTAATGGCTAAATCACTTATAAATTTGCAAAATTCAATAGCTATGTTAAATTACCGGAGAGTAATGCACCAATTTTTTTCCACTGTGATGACTGGGCCCCTGGCGACACGTTGACGCGGCGGTTGATGCGGCGGGGCACCAGCTGGTACCACAGGAGGAGCAGCAGCAGAAGTTGAAGGAAATTCACCTGGGAAAATCAGCACCCCCCAGCGGTAGTAAAGGGAACCGAAAAACATGTTGAAATTTGGATTTTATACAGTTATGGCCCAAAAAACAGTTAGAAATTTGATCATAACTCCTAGAACTAAGGTTGTACTGTATCATTATAAGATCCCAGTTATAACTTGTAACTGTTAAGGGCTATAACTGTAGGTGATCTATGTTGTTATTATGGATATGTCTACCGTAAACCAGACTTCACCGTCAAACATTGCAATTTGATCCACACAAATGTTGGTTGAGCCAACAAGAACTATGGGATCTCAATTTCAGACACATGGTCAAACAGATTGGCAAGCATGGCTGACTAGAAAAATAGAAGTTTTAACCAGAGTTTTGCAAGGTTAGAGTCACTTTTAGGAAATTGGAGATGGATCTAATCATTGTCAAAACCCTGGTACTTCGCGGTTCACATCCCATGAGAACATCGTCTATTTGGGGATGGTCACGCAGAATCTATTTGTTGACTTTGACGCTATGGCATCATGCTAGAAATCACACTTGGGAGCCATGGCACTTTTCAGGTGAAAGTTTACCGTACGAAAACTTAGACGTTGAGCTTGCAACAGATCCTACAGTTGTGGCCCTTAAAAAATTAGAAATATGGGATTATAACTCCTATAACTGGGGTTATATATCATTATCGTCCCAGCTTTAACTGTTATAACTTATAACTGTTTAAAAAAAATGTGGGCGTCAAAACTCTGGTTGTGTGTTTTCACCAACAATCCCTGGCATGGTTGTCGTATGTTGCCGGCAGTGGAACATGTTGGTGAGCCACGGAGTCAAGATGTTTGACCTTAGGCTCCAGCGACTCCAGCGAAACCAGCGACACATAATGAGCAAATGCATGGACGTATCGAAACTCCCCACTCCGCCAGGAAGGAGGATTTGAGTCCTTGAGGGTTGGACCTGTTCAAAAAGAAGTTCTTCAACACAGTGGGCCGCTGGAAGACCATCGTACGGGTGTCCGGCTACACGGACACGTCCGTGCCCAGCACTGGGAACTTTTCCAACAAATGTTCTTTGGCATCGAATGACGGCGGCATCTCCAATCCGAGATGGCGACATCTCTGGAGAAAGCCCGTGAAATTGAAATGCAACCAAAGCCATTCGATTGAAAGATGAAGGACAAAGCATAATTCAGCTTTGCCTGCGTTTAAGATGTGTTTAAACATTGTGCATCGCTTTACAGAGCCGTGCAAGTTGATATTTTGCAGTAAAATCATGTTTCAACCATGTGAACTGTTGATGACACTCTGTTCAAACGCATTGTCTTTGATCCGGGTGATTTTGAATCTGCAGTTGGAAATCAGATAATCAGGGGCTCAAAATTTGCTTGGTCAGTCAACATGAGTAAACGATTATTACCAAACAGGTTGCAACCAATCTTTAAAAATCTGCTTCAAAGGGTTATACCACAGCCCAGTTGCTTGTAATCATTCCTGACTACAGTATCATCATTCGCACAGGATGCCCCTTGATGATATGGTTTATCCCTTTTAATTTACCTCTCAGACATATCCAGCTGCTGGGAACTACAGGGCTCAAGATCATGAATAACACACATCACGGGAAAGGAACAAACCTATCATCTTGGGGGGTAGTTTACCAACTTTAGTTGCTAGGAAAACATTAACATTAATTAATCATCATGTCTTGGCGTCTGGGTCACCGCACACCCAGCGCAAAAACCATGAAGGTCACCTCAAAAAGTCAGGTTGCTGTGACGAAGAAGAATTTCTCATCAAGCACATTGGGGAAGTCATCAATCAACGAAACAGACCAACCCTTTAGATCCAGCCGTACCTTCTTAGGAGGTGTGACTGGGGTATGATGACTGGTGGGTGAGTACCTTCTCAGGAGTGTGATATGAACACATTAAGTAGCAATCTAAGAGTCAAAGAATTTTTCAAGAATCGCCCTAGCCTTGCACACAAACACCCTGGCTACCTTGGAAATGGCTAGCCAGGGTTTTTGTATACTGTGACTTCCGGGTTAAGTAAGTTTAAGGATAGTAAGCATACTAATTTTTGTTGAAGTGTGCCCTCTGGCTATTTAACATAGCTATAATGATTTATGATGATTTACCTTTTAGAAATGCTGATTTTCTATAGCTACGTCAAATAACCTTCCTGTCTGTTACTAAACCTATGGAAAATCACCATTTTTCATGGGTAAATCAACTATAAATGGTGATTTTCCATAGTTATGTTAGTTTACCAACACTGGATATGTTTTGAATGGGCATCGAATGTGTTTAGTGGATTTACTTGGTTTATCATAAACGGTCTACTTCATTCCAGACCATTCCAGCACCCTATCGATTCAGCCGGAAGTGTTTGGATCAGGAAACTGTAACGAAGAATATGATACTTGAAACCATAGAACTATATATATATATATATATATTCAAATTATTCTAGTAACTATATCCATATATAGATAGATATATAGTAACTAAATACATATAGATAAATCATGATATATGTACAGTAGCAACTTTGGAGTATCTCGATCCCATCGATCCCCGGCTGGGCATCCCCACCGCTAGGTGCACCCTTTTTCCTGGCGAATCTCTACGTGAAGCCGCGCTGTACATTGTCCAAATGATCATCTTATTGTTGGAATGGTATTATCCATGAT